TACTTTGCCCAAAGCCCGGTAGCAAGTAGAAATTTAGGCAAATAAAATTTTAACAAATTATTCCTATAAACCAAAAGCTTAACTTAAGATGTTGGCATGGTAAAACATTTGTAAAAAATTATTAATTTCCGAACCTTCATTTTTAAAAAGCAACTTGCCCAAATTATCTATTCCAAACTACATGCATCTACTATGTACGACATACATGTTACATGTAGCTACACAATATATCATCATTACCTGCCACGAGTCTCTGTGAACAACAAGAGCTAGTAAGAAGTCTGCAATTAAGTCAATGAGAATGGACTGGAAGATCTAAATAGATCAATCAACTCCTTTATCTCAGTAATAGTGTGAATCAATCATACCTTTAATGTGCCATCAACTGTAACGGCTATCACTGCATCTTGCATCTGTAATGTGAGTAAGAGAGAGGAGACAAAAGTGTTAAAAGTGTAAAAACAAACCCAATTTATGGCCCATTAATATTAAATTAGTGTCATGTCTTCAGAAGAATTACTGTACGTGTTATCATTTTGAAAAATGTGATGTAGTATTAACACAACATACAAAACTACATATTACATGTACATATATGTCTTGGTGTAGCCATTGACAAAAGGTCTCAGAAAAGCTCATAAACATAATTGTAGACTGATCAAAATTACATGAATGCATTAGAAAATAGACAAAAAATATTAAAAGTACTAATTATTAAATTGGGTACCTCTAACCACAGAATAGAGGCCCAACATGTACATGTCTGTCTGTCAGCAGTTAATCAACAGAACAGGTAACTGTATAAAACGTGCATTGTTTCACAAGTATACACAACAAACAATGTTGACTACACAATTAATCACATCAAAAATTTCATAGATGTACATGTGTATAGCAAATAAATTATAATAATTGCATATAACAATTTCTCTTTTTTGTTATAAAAAAATTATAATAGATTGCACACACTTTTATGAAAACCTCAGACATTGAGTTGAGGTTGTAAAAATTAACATTACAGTCATTTAGTTTATCATTACTAGCTTTCAAATAAGAATAAGACATGAACAAGAAAAAGACACAAAAAGACAGAAATAAAACAGAGAGCATTTATGAAGGTGAGAAA